GAGAGAAAATCACACATCCCATTTCTCACACCGACCTGTCCCTGTTGCTCAGGCCCAAAAGGAGTTTTATGGTCATTTCCCTCCCATTCACTGCAGATGGGTTAAATATTACATCAAAGGGTCTTTAATGTTTCACCTCTCACATTTCTTCTCAGTATCGAGTTCAAAACTAGTGTAGGCTGCATTTTTACAGTAGATTTAATGGATCAATGTCCATAATCACATTAGCACTGGCTTAACGTATAACAAATTTCACCGTACCAGCATCAAAGACCTGACCTCTTGTTATAATCAGGCATAGCATCTTTTGCTCTACTCAACATTTTTGGCCTTTGTGATACTGGGCGAAAAAGAAAATTGTCAAGGGGGTGATAAGCTGTTGTGTACGCGGCTCAGAGAGAAAATGTATGAGAGAAAAACGTTTGTCCCCCCATACTCATAAAGTCACAGATGCTTTGTACGCCCCCTTACAGTTTTCATGGCTCACCCTGATAATCATTTCCTTATCAGAAGACTCTTTTGCCATTTGTGTTTCTCATCGGGGTAAAGCTCTAATCCACAGGGAGTCCACGGATTTTACAAACTTTCACTGGTGGCCATGCTGATTGATGCCATTTTGACAGAAGGAAGAAAAAAAAAGAAAACATGATATATGATGTTAAAAACTATACCACAGTGGCCATCGCTCAGCACTTCCTGTTTAAGTCCAACGGGCCATCAATGAATAATCCAGATTAGCAAAAGATTCAAATAGACAAACTGCAGACAAACTAGAATTGATGGCTTCCACTGAGCCGCTCGAGGAACAGGCCATGACGTAAAAGGAAAAACATGTCAGGTTCTGCCAGCCAGGTTAATCAAGACAAGCTTCCCTTGCACAAAGATGTGTGTGTATGTGTGTGTGTGTGTGTGTGTGTGTGTGTATGCTAGTGTGTTTGATTGCAGCCTTGTGCATATGTACGTGTGAACCCATTGCTCATTCATAATATGCAATCTTATTTTACGACTGATTGTATTTGCCATACATAGGCTGTATGCATGAGGTCCTCTTACCCATATTTCTACCCTGCACAGCACAAATAAACAAGAACACTGGATAATCCATCATCTTGTGCGCTGTGGGAGTGTGCCCAACATAAACATGGCTTCTGTTTTCTATCTGTGTCTATGTCTGTGCGGGAGAGACCGCGTGTGCGGGCTGGGATGGGTAGCACCATTATGTTAGTGCACGCTGATTGTCCGTGGCTGTGAAACATAAACCTCCTGCACTAAATGAGGATTATACAAATGAGCTTCCTCTTCGCTCTTTGTTTCTGCGTCCCACTGGCTGGACAAGACGCAAGAGCGGGGAGCACGCTTTGCTTCAGAGCTTTGAAGTCCTCTAAAGATGACTCACATGTGGGTTTGTGAAGAGCCGAAATGGGGGTCAAGGTGACACGCCTGTAATTGTTTTAACGTTTATTTTCTATTAGCTTAGCTCCAAGGAACTGGTTTTGATTTAGGCCAGTAAAAGAACTTATATCATACAATCGTGTGTTAGTCTACATAGAAGGGAGGGTTAAGTCTCAAGCAGGATCAATCTGCAAGCAGTAGGTGATCAGCTACAACCCCTTTCTCACCTGAGATGTTCTGTTTGCTCAAAACAGTCATAAACACCAATTTTCTTCTTAATAGAGATGAGGTCAACAGTTTAAGACGTGTTTTCCACATCAGTGCACTGATTTCCATTTTTCAATTAAAAACGTGGGGCTATATAATAACCAGAGCAAATATTAGGGCCATATAATAACAGACAATCCCTTTAAATCAACATTCATATTGCTCAATAAATATCTAAATAAGGAGAATGTCTCCCGAGAATTAAGATATGTCTATCTGAGGTTAATTCTCCACGCTAGATGACTCGTTGCTTCAGGCAAATTGATGCCTTATGTCAGAATTATAGCAACAACTGACCTCATATACAGTAATTTCTGCTTAATCCCAGATTGACTTTCCCTCATTGCGCCTCTTGACATACAAGACTGACAGCTACTCCGTAGCAAAAATCCTAGTAGTAACGATGGTAAGACCATTGTACCCACCATAATGCATACAATATCCTCATTCATTGTACGAGAGCTTTATTTACAGAACCCTCTGGGTAACGCAATGCCACGCTGTGATCACACACACCAGCCCACTGCATGTAATTATACTCAGCCTGCTCTCCAATCTGTCACTGCCCAACCTAATTTGTAAGTGTGCATGTACAGTGATTAAAGAAATTTCTGTGCCACTGCAAAAAAAAAGG